GTGGTGAGAAGAGGGTTCCTTTCTCCTTCAAGTTTTAGTAAGGCAAGGCAACATGCGTGCAGCTTGCCTTTTAATACAGTCTTGGTTAGATTCATTGACACCTTAAATAAAAGAAACAAGTTGCAAATCAAAAGACGACGACCCAAAGCCCAAAGGGGTCTTTACCTTGACCAGAATGCGAGATTTTGGTCTCTTTTTTGCTCTATAAGAGAGGAGACTACGGGATGGACCTTTGGGGAGGAAATAAATTCCTATTTCATGGGCTGAAAATCATACACGATCCCTTTACTTTTTACATCTTTTCAAGCTAATTCCTCTACTTAATACGCAATCAACTCAACCCTTTTGTTTCCAAGCACTGACTGTTTGAGAACTGCTATCCAATTATTTCTTAATATGATGTATTTATAATAGAATAAAGATGGTTTTATGATTGATGTTTATTCACAAAAGTAGTATACAAGGTTGTAATTGATTATGGCAATACAACATTGCAGTAGGGCCAATGATAGCAGGAAATCTAGTGCTGATTGATATGGAGCTAATCAAGGAGATCTGATTATGTGCATGATTGTTGGTTGGTGAGATATCCTAAACATGCCCCCACAAGATGGTGCTTCCATCGAAGACACCAATCTTGGACCGTAGAAAGCCTAGACGTTGCTAAGAGAGAGATTTTGTCAACGCATAAACAAGTTGATCCTTGGTTGAAATGTGATTGACTTGAAGCTGACCTTGATTAACCGTCTCACGAACAAGAACAAAATGGTAATCAAGCGCTAAGTGTTTTAGTCGTGAGCGAAACACATGATTGGCATAGAATACGTGGCACCAAGATTATCACTATAAATGATGGGTGGTTTAATACTGGAGAAACCAAGTTTATTCAGTTAAGCAAAAGCAAGTATAATCCGAATAGAAGTAGACTTGATGACAGGATTGAAGGTCTCCGTATAATCCAATCCTGGTCGTTGATGGAATCCCTTAGTAATATATCGACTCTCAGCAGAACCATTTGAGCGGCGTTTGATTTGAAATACCCACATAGAGCCAATTATATTATAGTGTGGTTGAGAAGGAACAAGATCCCAAGTACCAATACAAAACAATGCGTTGAACTCACCAGCCATGGAGGCCCACTGTTACAGTGTTAAATGTGCACGGGGTGCACATCTAAGGCATGCTGTCCAATATCAGGCCTAAGGGTGCTGGCAGCCATGCCAACGATGGGATAAATTAGCAGCACAGATATATGCGGCTATAAGTTTGTCAAAGGGAACATCGGCAGCACAGATTGCTGGGCTTGACGATGGAATGTCCAAGCCAGAATGGAAGACTCATCAGTGGCATAGGCTGGCGAGAACTGGGGCTGTCGAGAAATGCGGGGTAGCGCAGGATGTTGACAAACATGGGCTTGGCGATGGAATGTTCAAGCCAGACAAGGAAACTCGTCAGGGGCATAGGCTGGCGAGGACTGGGGCTGTCGAGGAATGCGGCAGCACAGATTGGTGAGGACTATGGGCTTGGCGATGGAATGTCCAAGCTAGACAAGAAAACTCGTCTGGGATATGGACGGACGAGAATTGGGGTTGTCAAGGAGTTCAGCAGCGCAGACACTGGGAGCTTGCGCGCAGATGGGAATTCGGCAGCGCAAGATTTGGCTAGCTTGCACGCAGATGCGAATGCGGCAGTGCAGACATTGGGGCCTGCACGCAGTTGCGAATTCGGCAGCGAAGGAATTGGGGCCTGCACGCAGATGCGAATTCGGCAGCGCAGGAATTGGGGCCTGCACGCAGAAGCGAATTTGGCAATGCAAGATTGGGGCCTGCACGCAGTTGTGAATTCGGCAGCGCAGGATTTGGGACCTGCACGCAGAAGCGAATTGGGCAGTGCAAGATTGGGCAGCCTGCACGTAGATGTGCATTCGGCAGCGCAGACATGGGGGTCTGCACGCAGATGCAGATTTGGCATCGCAGTATTTGGCGATTGTACCCAGGGTTCTCACTCTGCATTCGCATTGGAAACACTTAGTTAATAGGCAAACACAAGTGGATAGACGAGGGAAGACTGAGTCTAGCGAGTGACTAGGCTGCCGCACGGGTTTATTTGCGTAGCGAAAAATTACCCCGTGACACCCACCATTGTGGATATTTGAGGGCAATGGTGGCACAAGTTGGTTCTAAAAGTGATGGAGTAGGGTGTTTGGTAGCCTTAAAAATGGTTTTTTTGAAGATGTTATTTTGTGACCGAGTGGTCATAAGACGGGCGCGGGATGGTGGTTCTCGAACAAGTGTTGTTTCAACTGGAAGGAAGAGGCAATAGGAAATGAATGAAAGTGTCCCTTACAGGAGTAGATGCTGCTGGAGCAGACATATGACCAGCAAAGGTTCCAAGAGTAATAGAAGAATGATAGGTGGCTCGTTAAGAATTAATACCCGCAACAAAGGAGACATGGAAAAACTATGAGGTGAGTTGGTGTTAGAGAAAGGAAAGGAGTGTTTATCAAACACAACAGGACATGAGATAAATTTTTATTTTGTCGAAACAAATATAAGCACTTTGAGAGTTAGAATATCCGACAAAAACACAGAGACGAAATTTAGCTTGAAGTTTATTTTAAGTGTCGGGTCGAAGTTATGATAACACAAACAAACAAAAGTGCATAGCTTTTTTGCAGCTAGACAATTATTTAAAGAGCTTTTTAAAATGATGTTTCATATTTAGAAGTGGTGTACACAATCAATTAATTAGATATATCGCTGTTCGAAAAGTAAAAGATCAGAATATTGAAGGCACCAATTTCAACAATGTGATGATGTCGATGTTCGACAGCACTATTGTGTTAATGTACAAGAAGATGAGTAATACGCAAATAAAGTTTCTAGTTTTTGATACTCACCACCACTTACAAACTGTGAAAAGAAAATTTTTAACAATTGCCTTGAATTTTGGAAGTATTGTATAGACATCGGACTTGGTTTTTATTGGATAAAGCCATGTATATTTAGTAAAATGATCGATGAAATTGATGGGGCCAGTCCCCAAACTTCATTATAAACTAGATCAAGTGGATAACGACATGTAAGTGTTGAAGTAACGAAAGGGAGTTGATGACTTTTGTTATTGCACAAGCAAGATTCACACGAGAAAGACTTAGATTAGCTGAAGAAAAAGAAATAAAGAGATAACTGCTGCAAGATATGAAGAGAAGGGTGTTCCAAACGATTGTGCCAAGTTGACAAAGAAACACTTGTGCTATTCAATACCATTAGAGAATCTGAGGAGGTACTTTGAAACTCTGGCCACTCATAGGTATCATCTTTATTAGGAGTAACTAACTCCTTGAATTCACTTCCAATGCTATTAATGATGTGAATTAAAGCTCCGATTTCAGTTACTGGGATGTCATTAATAGCAAGTTCATCCATGATGGACTTTGTAGATTGAAGATAGTCTGAAACAGAGCAGGAACCACAAAAGAGAGTCAATTTATCAATTTATCATTCAAGTGCTTAACACGAGATTATGATTGGTTAGCAAAAAGATTTTTTAGCTTCTGCTAACCTTTTAAGATGTTTTGGATAAGTCTATGAGAATGACAACACATTCAGAAACTGAAGAAGAAATTGATCTTGTCTAAACCACAAGAGATAGGTAGGAGTGTCCATTGGTGGAGTTGGATCTGAATCATCAACATAGCCAAGCAAGTCATATCCAATAAAAAGTGACTTAAATTGTGCACGTCAGGCAGAAAAATCTGTGTCATTGAGTCTAATGTGAGGTTATGAAGCAACTAGATTGTTTGGTGTGATGGAAATGGAAAGAACAACAGCAGGGCTTTGGGTTGAGCTTTGGCTGGATTCAGACAAGGCCATGTATTTTGATTGTTCGTTAGAGCTTCTGATACCATCTAATAGAATAAAGATGGTTTTATGATTGATGTTTATTCATAATAATAGCGCGCGCGCGCGCGCATATATACAAGGTTATCATGCGCTAATTGCAATATTGCAGCATGGTCAACGATAGCAGGAAATTTAGTGTTGATTAATATAGTGCTAATCAAGAAAATTTGATTTTCTTGATGTGATTGTACTCATTATAATTGGTTGGTGAGATACCATTGATCTACTTGTATCCATGATTGTTGGCTGGTGAGATATCCTTAACATATTTGAGAATCCCATCTAATTATTTCATAACATGTTGCATTCATCTAGAATTTTAATAAGCAAGTGAGTTTGATAAAAGGAGTTTCATATCACCATTATTAACAAGAAAAAGGGTTGATTTGTTTTAATTTAGAAGTGCAGGATTTGATTTTACTATGGCACGAAGTAGAAGGACCACAAGTATTTTCTAGCCGCATGTCCATCGTCGTGCAACTCCATTACCTTTTGGTTCTGTTTAGGACGGATTAAGTAGGACGTACAAGAAAAAGGCTTTATGGAGTTGGTGTAATCTGATTCGAAGTGGATTAAATTGAAAAATAACCAAACTTTCTCTATTCATTTATGGGAGTGTTTGACACGGGCGAGCTTATTTAAGTATTTGAAATAGTGGGTTGAAAATTAGATGTTGTTCAAAGATTTTTGTAATTTCCTTCGAAGTTATGAAGATAAATTGGTTAAGGGATTTGAAATTCTAGAGAAGTTTTTTCAGTTGACATTCTTGACTTGGGGGATACTATATATTTTCTTCCCTTCATCTGGGGTCTGAGCTGGATTTGCATAGATACATAACCTTCTGATCATCTATGTGATCATCTATGAGGAGTTTCTGTTAAAGGATTTTGAAGAAAACTTGAAAATCTTGGAAGGTTTTTGTTGAGATATTAAAGTACAGATTGAAGATATTTAGCTGCTGAAAGAGGGTGTTGAAGTAGTGATTAAACTCCTAGTACTTCTGGTAAGTTATCTGAATAGATATTTTGTTGTTTGTTGTGTATCTTCTCTTGCTCCTCAAATTTTGGTGACATCTATATGCCCTTGGTGCTCTCTCTCTCTTCTGTCATTTTTACTCCGAAGAGATTTGAACTCGAAACCTCTTGTATAATAGAGCAATATGGATAACAGAATTTGAAGAACATGCATGCATACATAATCTTTCTTGAAACTTTTTTTATTCTTGAGAAGAAATTGTTGATCTTGTTGCTCCCTACGTGCGGTTCCTGTGTTCAGATTCAGTAGGTTAAAAAATGTTCTTGAACTTGCAAAGAAGTTGCTTCTGTAAAATTTGTACACACGTTTTAATGGAGAAGAAGATATCTTTCTCCTCCATTCACACTTGAAGCTAAAGTATTGCCCATTTTGTATTTAATCTTTTCTTTTCCTTTAGAGAGGTTTATTATTTAACCATGAAAATTAAAGTTAAACCACCTTCTTCTCTTAATCATCTCTTGTTGATCAGGTTCCTGTTTAAGTATTGAGAATTTGTATGATGGGTTTTAGTTTTTCTGTTTAAAACTTGTTTGATGGGTGAGGTCAGTCCATTCTTGGTGTGGTTCAAAAGCACCATTAGCATTAGCAGAAGGTTAGGTGGAAAATCATGGCTGCTTCAATTTTGGTCAAAGCAATTTTACATGAGCATTTGTTTACTAATTCCTACTTGTTTGACAGGTTGAAAATGGGCTCCACAGATGCGACACAGTCGGTTGTTTCCTTAATTTTCTTGGTCATTTTAGGCTCAAATCTCATTGCAGGGCAAACATTCTCTTCAAATTCTTCTAAGCCTGGTAAGACCTGATAATTTCATTGAATAAGGTTTTGAAACTTGAAGTGGGCTTTAATCCAAGAATTCAAACTAGCCCTTTTCGTTTGTTGGGAAAACTAATTAGCCCTTAAGGTAATGATTGATTTCTTGGTATGTTTCTTGTTTTATCAGATACATATGTTCGTGATGTAAACAATGTGTCACAACCTATGATACGGTCAGATGATACTGTGAGGTTGGATCCACTTGAAAATTTCAAGAAATATAAAGGAGGATATGATATCAAAAACAAACATTATTGGAGTGTAATTCCCTTTCACTCTCTCTTTAAATAGATATTAATTATAGAAAATCATGAACCCATGTAGAAAATCAGTTTTGCCACCCAAATTTTAGCTTTTATTGATGTAATCCCAGAAGATTTTCTTTAGTCTTGTAGCATGGTATGGTCCTAATGATTTAGTTATTTCTGAAATTTTCGTAAAAGCTAAAATCACAGAGAAATAACATGTTGTATTTTCTGCAGTCAACCATATTTACAGGAATTTATGGATATGTCGTTGGGGTAATCTGGCTTCTGGGTGGCATAGCATATGGAGGCTTTCTGCTTGCAACTGCTTTCTGCTGTAAAACTAGAAGGTATGGACAGCTGAAGAAAAGATTACCTTGCCATAAGCAACGTTACCTCTGGCCTATTCTGTTGGCTATATTTTTCACTGTCCTAGCAATGTAAGTCCCGCCACATTTGCATTCCAAATCCAAATAATATAAATGCTGCAACAGTTTGTGACAAGTGAAACACTACCTGCAGAACTGCATCTGGGCTAGTTCTTGGAGGGAATGCGAAGTTCAATTCACGAGCTAAAAATGTGGCGGACATCATCATTGACACGGCGAATGACGCATGGAAAACCATGCACAACACAACAGGAGTAATGAAAGACATGAAAGAGAATTTAGGAGCATCTAAACAAGGGGCTGCCGCTCGGGCATCTACCTTCCTTACCACCACATCAGCGAAACTTGATGCTGAAGCTGCTGATATACAAAGGCGAGCTCGGAAGAATAGGCACTTGATAGATAAGGGTCTCAAGATAGTGTAAGGTTATCTATCCAATGCAAATTATGTATATCCATGTCCATTTGAGCATGTCTAAAAGATGGCTATGATACTTGCTGCAGTTATATAGTAACCACAGTGACAATTTCCTTGAACGTGGCCGCACTAATTGCTCTTTCAGGTATTTCTCCCTATGTGTCCAACTCCATAGCCCTACCACACTTGGAATTTAGTTGGTCAATACAACTTTTGAACCATGTAAAACCAGAATTGGACAGGAAAAGTTCCAAGTGCTGGCAATTTATTATTATTTATCACTTTCTTCATCATTATGATCAAGTTGAATATATTTCTTATTTTGTGTTTGAATTCATTCTATTGCAGCCTGTGGAACTCTGAGGTTACAGCGACCACTTTACATGTAAGTAAAAATAAACAACGCTTACATAGCCGAACTAGAACATTTCCTAAAAGAGGGAATTGATTGTCATATACATTTTCTTATGATTTTTCTCTAGCAGATTAATTGTTGTGTGTTGGATCCTGACTGTTCTATGCTGGTTGTTCTTTGGGCTGCATTTCTTCTTAGAAAAGTAAGTCCAAGTTCTTTCCATTGCTTCAATTTCTCAATACCAACTAATTGAGGGAACATGAACATTTTTCTGCAGCTTTTCAACAGATTCATGTGCAGCTCTCAGAAACTTCCAACAGAATCCTTACAACAACAGCTTGAGTTCAATCCTTCCCTGCGATCAATTGCTCTCAGCAAAAGCAGTGTTATTTGATGTCAGTCGAGGGATCTACAAACTTGTTAATCAGGTTGACTCGCAGGACATTATCTCCGAGTTGCAATTTGTTTTTCTCCCCGATTGAACCTTATCGTTTTATCATGTGATTTATATCATACCTTTCTTCTGCTGAAACAATTCAGGTGAATGCAAACTTATCAACCATGCAAGGAGTACCTTATACAGTTTGCAATCCCTTCTCAGCACCACCTGAATACCAATACCAGCCTGATAAGTGCCCTGCTAACACAATCCGAATCGGTGAGATCCCACAGGTATGTCAAAGCGAAGATCAAAAAGTTTTTGTAACCCCAAATATATTCTCTGTTCATGTTCACTAAATGAAGTTCTATTCCACTCTCCACAGGTATTGAAGGTATTTACTTGTTCCAGTTTCGACAATGGAACATGTGCCAACGGACAATTCATATCGCCTAACTATTATAGAACAGTTGGGGCATACAGCACATCCATTCAGAGCCTACTAACTGTGTACCCTGAGATGGAAAATCTAGTACAGTGTAAAGCGGTGAAGGATGCGTTTTCTGAGATCCTTTTGTACCATTGCAAACCATTGAAAAGATACGTTCGAATGGTGTGGGCATCAATGGTGTTTCTCTCATTAGTCATGGTATTTCTGGTTCTGATATGGACAATGCTGGCTCAACATGAGCAAGAGCACCACTCTTTAGACGGTTCTGTGAAGCCACGTTTGCCATCTGTCGCAAAGGAATTGGAAACTGGAACCAAAGATAGCTCAGAACATACTGTTTCAGTCTAGGAAGTAGCAACATTTTATCTAGGATACTACATTAAATTCTGGAAGATCAATGGTGCAAGCCAACTTTCAAGAACACAAGATCAAGAATTCATGGTACGATATTGCTAGGTAGATTAGATGCATACCAACAAAGAAAATTAGTGCAGAATTCATGGTACTTCAAATTTGAAGGCCTACTGGTTTTTTCACTTCTTTGATTGATTATCAGACCCCAAATCTGGGGCACAGATTTGAAAACTTGATGTACATCCAATTTAATGTATTAAAAACACTACCTTAATATAATCAAACATAAGCAACATATTTATCAATAACAAAAATTCGATTCTTGTATTGAATCTCTTTCAATCAACCATTGTTTAGAAGTCAATGGATGCTTCTTCTTTTTTTTCCAATTAGTAGTTGCTTCAAAGTTGATGTGTTGTAAAATACATGCGTATTTCATTGGTTGACACATACATACATAGGTATGTATGTATGTATCAATATTGGTATGTATTTATGTATCAACCAGTTGATGTGTTGTAAAATAAATGTGTATTTCATTGGTTGATACATATATATATTGTTGTTCCGACTTATCCGAAGTATCACTTCATAAAAAAAATTACTTAGATTGTGTTCTAATAATGCTCTAAAAAAACCACTAATACAAATGTAATGTAATAAATATGTATTCAGTTAAGGAGAAAGAGGTAAAATACATATATAGAAAATAAATATATTTTCAAAATTATCTTGGTCAAGAAATATGCCCCTTGTATTTCATTGTTTCTAATCAAATACTATATTGGAATTAACTTGATCAAGTTTTAACTAGATTTAAAAAGAGTAAATTAGATTAAATCAAGTTATTTTTCTGTTTTGATTGTATAAATATCAAAATTGATTTAAATAAATAAATTTAAGATTAAATTTAATAACCAAGTTTAATAAATATAAATGATTAGGTTCCGCAGTTACCAAAAAACTAATTCCTACCGTTTTTATTGTCTCAAAACACAGAATACTATTTCATTATAATAGTATCATGATTTTTTCCCCTTAGTTATTTTATCTTTTTTCTTGACTTTAAAGGTAGAATGGTACATAAATGTAATTGGATTTTTAAATGCACAATAAAATTATTAAAGTAACACTTTAATAAAATAATTCAATGTCTTCTACCTAAGGTCATTTTTATATTTTTAAATTTATAAAACAATTGAATTAATCCATTACCCTTACAATTTGAATTTTTTAGCCTTAGCTTTAGAAGCTTAATTGTAATTTCACCATAATTTGTTTATTAATATTGTTTAGTTCTAAAGTTATTTTTCTGTGTTTACACCAAAAAAACAAAAAAATACATGCGTCGGCCACCACATTGTCTTCTGACTACACGTGGGAGTGGCTCTGGTTGTTGTAACCATAATACTGCAATATTATTTAATTCATTTTAATGTCCTCTTTCTCTATAAGTGGCGTTATAGTGGTTCGTCACGATTTAACCTAAAATTGCTTTTTGTTTTTTTTCATTAAATTGCATCATTCTTGGGTTTTTTCTATCAAATTTTATCATTATTCTTTATGTTGTTTTTATAAGGTTTTTTATTAATACTTTTCTACTATAATATTTTAAAAAATAAAAAGGAATAGAAAAAGGCAACAAAGCCCTTGAAGGCTTAGAAGTGAGTAAAATGAATAAGGGGTATTGTAGTAATTAAACAAAGAGTTGATAAATATAAATAGAAAAGAAAATAGAAGAAGAGAGCTGTGTTTTTTAGAACAAACCATGAGAGAGAAGGGAGAAGTAAGAAGAAGAAGAAGAGAAAAGAGGGGAAGAGAAGGGAAAAGGAAGAGATTGGAAGAAAATAAGTTTAAAGGTAAGATTTAGGTTGTTAAATATATAAATGTGTTCTTTGAACTTTAAATTTTTGTTTTGATAAATATTAGGGTTTTGAAAACTTATATTTTTAGTTAATTGATGAATTAATTTGAATGTTATAGGGTTGATTGTTATGGGTAATTGATTAATTAGTTGATTTTGAAAGACTATAGGTAAAGATGATGATGTTGAGTTATGATTTTGTTTGAATGGTGAAATTGTGTTAGAAATCAGGGGATAATAGTAGGTAACTGTGAAAATTCTGGGTTTGAGGTTGAAGATGATGAAAATTCAATTTGGTCCCTTAATTTATGAAAATTACAGTTTAGTCCCTAAACTTAAGGAAAAATATAATTTAACCCCTAATTGTATTTTGAGATTCTGGACATTGTTATTATGAGGTTAAGGATAATGAATCCCAGTTTGATAATTGATTTGGAATATTTTCAGTTTGGTCCCTAAATTTTGAGAATTTACATTTTAGTACCTAAACTTTAAAAAAATTACAGTTTGGTCCCTGGTTCGTTCTAAACATAATTAAGGATGGTTTATGTGTGAAATTTCAGTATAGTTATATATTTACAGTTTGGTCCAGTTTTGGTAAAATTACGATTTGGTCCCTGTTTTGGATAATTGTCGTTTTAGTCTCTAAACCTAGAAGAGTAAACCTGGTTTATTTTATACATTGGGATATTTTTTGAGTTTTGTTTTAGTATATTTCATATATTATTGTGGATTCTCCTAACGATTCTCAATAGGATTTTCGGGTCTTTCATCTAGTTCTATATTTTTTGAATGAGTGAGATAATCTTTAATATGCATATAATATAAATAAATATGCATGTTGATTATATGATGAGTATGATTAGTTAATCTCTTGAATATTTATATTTATATATTTTGTTTTATTTTTCGAGTACTCATCTATTCTTGAATTTACACTCGTATTCTGTCGAGCTAAATTCTATTTGATATGACATATGTTTCTTTGATGATTATATAAATATCTATTATGTCTTGATATAGGACTTGTCAGTAACTCCATACTAATAAAGAGTAGTTAACCTATATGCACATAGTATTCTGTATACCTAGCTGGTGAGAGAGGCATCAGTCTGTGACGACTGATCATCCCACAGTGGTCACCTTCGGGTGTTATCTGGTCACTTTCAGGTGTCATCTGATCTCTGACATGCATTCCACTACGTTATGATAATATGTTTAGTATGTATATGTATATGTATATCAAGATAAATCATCTAATAAACTATTAATATGAAAAATATCTAAAAAGTATATTAAATATTATTCTCTCACTGAGTTGATTGAATTCACCCCTCATTCTTAATATTATTTCAGGTTCTTAGTTTCTTATAGTAGTTGGATTTTGTTGAGTGTTCCTGCTTCTTCAGTTTTGGATCGGTATGCCTTACTTATTATTCAAGGTTGTTTTTATTCGATATTTTAGATACTCCACTATTACCTTGTTTTAATTAAATTTGGATTTTGAAAATGTAATGAGTATTATGAATTATTATTTTTATTTTAATTACTGATGAAGCATTTTGAACTATCATTTGATTTCATCAGCTTTGAGTAATATAACATTTCTGTAGATTATGAAATGCTGTATATTTTTTGAATATCTTATTCTTTTGATATGTCTGTTTGAGGTTTAGCATAGGTGGGGTGTCCTTTCGACACTGCTCCTGCGTTGCCGGTCATGGATCCAGGATTCAGGTCGTGACATCTATCAACCTCATTCTTTGAAATTAAATTGGTTAAAAAATATGTTTTTTGATTGAATATTAGTAAAACAATTCACGAGATATAACTTTTAAATATTAAATATTAGACTTGGTTTAAGAGGTTTGCCCCGTTTTTTTTTCTTTTCTAAATTGATATTATCTTATTTTTCATCCTTTTTTTAATTTTTTTTGTTATTTTTTTGTTTAATTTTATTTTTCAACTTTTTTTTCTTATTTTTTTGAGTTTGATTTTATTAGGTTAGCTCTCAATAATTGTTTTTTATTTCACCCCCATAATTTTTTAATCTATAAATAATCAATCATATTACAAATTATTTTTAATTTCATCTCCTATGATTTCTCAATCTTTCAAGTTTGCTTCTAATTCTTTTAATTGTATTTTTTTGGTGAGAAATGTTTGTTTTATTTTATCCTTGTTTTTTTTTCCTTTTACAAGTTTTTATTATTAATAGTTTTTCTAACAACTTTATCATTTAAAATTAAATTGGATAACATTTAAGTTTCTTAATTGAACTCAAGTATATAATTTAAAAAGTTGTAATTTTTTAAATTGGATTAGATTTAAAAATTTCGCTTAATCCACATGTTATTTTTACTTGTTTTTCTTTTAATTATATTAATATTGAGTTGTTTAATAATAATAGATTTAAGTATGGTTTATTTTTTGATTTATTTACCGCTGTTTTAAAATAATATATATTGCCAATTTAATTGGCTTGGAACAGAGAAGAGAATGGAATGAATTGGTTCTGAATGGAGGAACTGAATTAGTAAATGTAGGTGACTTGTGATGCTAGTTTTTGTAGCTTTAGTTTTATGTGGGAATCTGCGCCACTCTATATTATCTTGAATCCGCGCCCATGCTTTATACCTTGAATGGAATAAATAAATATTTTATTTTTTGAATGATTTTAATATTTTTTTTTCCACAATGATTAGATTTAATTGACTTATTTTTTTGCTGGCCCCGTCGTGTTAGTTTTAGCTCTTTTGAGAGATGCTTGGGAAGAATATTTATGAAGAAAGAAAAAGCATTTTATCATCTTGTTTAACTTCCTCATTAGATACGAAAGTCAATTGCCAATTCTGATGCGGTGGAGATGCCGTTTGAAAAGCCAATTCTATTATGGCGATGTGTTCACTCTTGTATGGTATCTAGAAAATTAGGAAACAAAGAAGACAATAATTTCTTGTTTTTTTTAATGTGGAAATTAAGAGATAATGAGAGTTGACACCTGATATTTTGATTATTAATAACCTTAAATGATATCAGAGATCGGGCATAGAGACCAACTATATAAATAAAAGATATTAATATCTTAAATACACTCTACTTAAAATAAATTATATTGTTTAATTATCCGATTAAACTAGTTGTCTAATTATTAGACAGTCTAAGGTTAAGGTTGAAAACAAGTTTTCTTCAATAAAAAAGTCCTTACCGTAAAAATACAATTATTGTGATGTTAATAAAAACAAAACTACATTTTTAATATTAGAACGTCTTAAGTACAAGTTTATATTTCTAAATATTAAAAGAAAAAAAATATTTTATTTGATATTTTTAAAATATTAACTTAGTTTTTATAACTTTAATGAGCTGATTTTTTTGTTTAGATTTTTTAAGTATAAAAAATACTTTTTTTCTAAAAAATATAAAAAATATTTTTTAACTTAAAAATATTTTTTAAGTATAAAAAATATTTTAATAAAAATAAAATACTTTTTTTTGTTTAGATTTTTTAAGTATAAAAAAATAATATATTTTAATATTAAATTTAAAAGATTAGTTAATGCTTCCGTGAGGGAGTACAACAATTTTTCAAATGGTATTTGAAATTGTTTTTTTGTGCTTCCTAAAAATGCAGTTAACATGAAAAGGATCGAATTGATTTTTTTAGTATTTTTAAATAATTTTAATACATTAATATTAAAAATAAATAAATAATTATTTTAATAGATATTTTTAAATAAAAATTTAGTTTAAAAAATATTTCATATAACAACTCCAAACAGATGATTAAAGCCACCCGCATTGCAGGTTGGAATGAAACGGAGGGTGAAACATAACGAATCAGTGTAAACGTACGCGGGATAACCAAGTGGTCGATAAAGCAGAGCAGGACATCGCGTAAGGGCGCCCCGCCTATTTATCCTGTTTCCTTCAAAAATCCCCTTTAGTAAATTAGATTATAATTCATATAAGTTAAATCGATAGTAAATACACTTACCTTCTTGGTATTGTTCTCATGAGGGAGGGTTGGTAAGAGCAGCATCCCCATACAGGGAGAGAGAGGCTGCAACAAGAACGAGGCCGGCTGCTCCTTGGGATCATATACAACAGATATAGTCGTCCGATCATCGATCTCTCCAAGGTTAGCCCTGGCTTCCTAGTTTATATATATATATAGAGAGAGAGAGAGAGAGCGCTTAGACCGAAGAGAAGGTCAGCTGGATTTTGCTCATGCAAAATGCTGATGCTGGTAACTCGGTTCATTCTACTCGGTGACTTGCACATTCTAATTAAAAACCAGACCAAATCTAGTTCTGTTCTGTATTAAAAAGCTAGCTTCAGTACCCGGACCTTAATTTACAGGGAACGCGTTAGGACTTGTTGAGAGGACAAAAAACTACATGAACTGGACAAATAACCAACGATCCTTCTAAAATATTTTTGTTTGTATTCTAGTTTTGGCAAGTTTTGATCCATACTTTCATGCTTCACCTTTCTTTTTTGTATTTCAGACTATAATTTTTTTTTCTTAATGAAGAATTAAGAAAGGACGACGGGATTTAAAAGTTTAGAAATGATGCGAAGTGCAGGCAAGGGCAGAGCAAGAAAAAAAATTTGAGGAGGAACAAATTAAAAGAATCATTTTAAAAAAATTTGTTTTATTAAAATATGTATTAAATGAGTACCAAAAGAGGGGCTGGGAAAATTTTCCTTGCAGGGGCCGGGACCCCTGCCAGCGCCAGCCCACCCCCTGCCTCCGCCGCTGAGTGCAGGTATCGAGAATATTCACTTGGACAAGAATGAAAAGGAGTAATTATCACATTTTATACAAAAAATTTATACTCTTTTCTTGTAGGGTCGATCTTAAGATTTACATGTTGGCATAAAGTGCCTTGATATTGTGATATAAAAAAGAAATTGCTATATTATTTTTGTTAAAATATATCTCAAAAGTGCCTTATTCTGAAAAAAATTAACACTCAATATTGAACCATACTCCTGCCATTCATTCTTGGTTTTGTTTTATTACCGATCCAGAATGGGAAAGGGTAAATTTACTGCAAGTGCTTCAAGCATGAAGAATGATGTTGAAAGGGGAAGGGCATCAAATTATGGAGGACGACAAGGTAAGTGCTTCAAACATTGACGAGAAAACTTTAAAGGCTAGCGCATCAAATATGAAAATGGCTAGGGACTTGGACGAAGGATATTATGAGATTGACAACAAAGGATGGGAACTTCGAAATGTTTGGCTTGATCTGGAAGGATTAAGGGAGTTGCCCCCTCAAAAGGACCGGGCTGATGAATGTTGTATCTTCAGGGTTCCCAACTCACTTCGAGACAGAAATCCAGAAGCCTACACTCCACAGCTGATTTCAATAGGTCCTTTTCACCACAATGATGAAAGACTAGAGACCATGGAAACGCTGAAAAGAAGATATCAAGGAGAGTTCCTTAAAAGGAATGACATGGATGAGAAGAACTTTATGGATTTTCTAAGAAGCATTCATAAAAAAGAAGAGAGTATCCGACTCTGTTATTCAGAGAGCTTCAGGATCCACACAGAACGTTTTGTAAAGATGATCGTGCTGGATGCTGTCTTCATCATTGAGTTTTTGAAGGATTCATATGATGATGACTTTCCTCAAAATCTTGATACCAGGATGATATCTTGCATAGGAGAAGACTTGATGCTGCTTGAAAACCAACTACCTTTCTCCGTTATCGACTCTATATATAGCGAGTTTTATCACCCTCGCCAAGATGACATTTCTTTTCTTGATCTTGCCACCCGTCATTTTGGAAAGTACCAACTTGCACGAAAGCCAGAAACCACACCGCCGACAGAAGCACGGCATTTCACTGATTTACTAATGAATTTTATGTTGAAAGGAGCCCTCGAGCGAGAAAATCGCTCTAACCCTATCAAGCTGAAATATAGCGCCGTCACGCTTCGCAAAGCAGGAGTGAAGTTTCAGGCCACCGAAGACAAGTGTTTGATCAACGTACAGTTCGAGAAAGGAGTGTTGAAGATACCACTCTTGGAAGTTGATGATTCCTTGGAACGTCTTGTACGAAATGTCATGGCCTGGGAGCAGTGCTACAAACCGAGTGAAGCTTACATCAGCAACTACTTTAAGTTTATGGACCATCTTATTGACAGGGCAGAAGACGTGGCTTTGCTAGCTGAAGAGGGAATTATTAAGAACTGGGTTGGTGACGACGCCGCAGTTTCAAAGTTGATGAACAACCTTAGCCAACGTTGTGAAAAAACTTCTTATTATAGTGATATCTGTCAAACGATGAATGCCTACTATGAGAACCCCTGGAACCGTAGAAAGGCAACCTTGAAACTCGTATATTTCAGCAATCTTTGGAGAGGTACAGGAACTGTTGCTGCAGCTTTCCTTCTAATCCTCACTTTGATACAGACTATAACTTCCCTGAAATCGTCATTCTAGGATTAAATCTTCTTTAGTTTTATTAATCCTCCGCAATAATTGATGGGTTTGTTATTGTTGTATTCCTTAGAAATTGTTGTTTTAATTTTAGTTCAAAGCTTGCGTAGCTCTAAATGTAGCTATTTCTTGTTGTATTGTCCTGAAACTGATTCTGTTCTTGTTCCCTGTGTGATGTCCTTTCCTCTCAAAGCTCTTTTTCTGATTAAATAAAGCTGAAGAATGCATGATCTCAATTTTCACTTGATCATGGCGACTGTGAAGCCTTAAATCCAAAAACTAGTCGAATTATGCCTAGTAAATACCACAAGTCAATATCGGCATTTCCAGGTTCATAAGCTATCTACCTCACAACCAGGATTTCCTGAAGAACTTCCATCATTGTCAATTTCATTGCATCCTGCGGAGGACCTGACCATGAAACCGAACAAGTTTTCTAATGAACAACTAGGTTCGCACCCCTCTTTTGCAACCAAAGAAAAAAAAAACATACTGTGGTTTCTCTGGGTCAATCTTGTTGCTCTCCATGACAAGCATTTTGATCCGCGATTCCTTGACGCCATGCTCATTCATCAACCACAGCTCAAAACTGTCGTCGTCGTCAAGACCACAAGAATAGATGGAGTTTTCATAAACTCTAATTTCTATATCCCAGCAATAGTTAATATCCAGAGAGTGAGAATGATCTAAATTTCTCGTTTCCAAGATCAAATGCACATATTACAGTAGTGTAATCAATGTTAATGGTTTCATAACGATCAACTAACATCCATAAATGAACATGGCAAAAGAAGGCCAACAATCTGGGTAGCCATGACAGCCGAGGACTTCTCCAGGTGCCAGTCTCGATTATGAACACCTTAGCAGGAATTCAGAAGAATCTACTGACTCATAAACTCTAATAACCTTATCAATTTATGTGGTTAATTTATACACGATCCATGTGCCTCTATAAATTTATTTGTACCTCTATAATATAAAGTTTCCAAAAATTTCAATGTCTCCCTAAACTAATAATAAAACCCCAATCCCTTTTGAGAGCCGAATGCCTCTCATCTCTACCGTAGGCGTCGAAGAAGAATAACAATAATAATAATAAAAAAAGCCCCCAAAAAAGAAGAAAAAAACATGAATGGAGTTTTAAACAACCCGTATTTTGAATTATTTTAAAAAAAAAAGGTTTTCAATTTTTTTAGATATTATTACACATTGAAGATTCAAGATAATTTTTTTAAAAAATATATATTTAAAAGATCAGATTTTCCTTTTTGTTAGTTACCATGTGTTTGATATTAATATGTAAAATGCTTTTTAAAAGTGTTTTTGATCTAAAATTGCATTAAAATAATTTTTTAAAATTTTTACATCAAAATCATTAAAAATCACTAAAAAAAATATCAATTTAATGTTTTTATCAGTTAAACATACTTTTAAAACACATCAAAACAAAAATAAAAATAAATAGCTTTTTAAATTTTTTAAATCTGTAAGTTAACATTTAGTTATTATCCTAAGTCAAAAGAGATAGAGGAGACCATATAAAAAAAATAAAGATAAAATTGTGTTTTATAGTGATGTATAAAATAAATTTATTATCTTTATATTTTGTTTGGTTATGGTAGATAAGATAAAATAAAATGTAAAAAAAATTATTTTACCTTGTCAAATATATTATTATTTGTTTTACTTTAGTTTATATTAAGTATTAGAATTAATAATATTATAATAGCAATAGCTATAAAATCAGAACTGACTTAATAAAATAACTTGAGGTTTGGACTAGTTCGAGTTTAAAAAAAATAATAAAAAAAGGATGAATTTGGTTAATTAAAAACCTAGGTAAGAAATCTATTGACTTTAAAAAAAAATAGACAAAAGAAGATTGCATTGATATTTTTTTAAAAGAATTAGATAAGTCGATTTGATTTTCTCGATCTATAACCTCAATTTTGTCTTGGATTGACTTCCAAGTTAAATTTAAAATTTATGATAATAATTATTATTTTTATTTATACATTGACTTGAGTCAACCTATATTGACTCTCCTAATCCATAACCTAGATCTTGTCTTTGTTAATCTCAAATCTATTTTTAAAATTATAATAATAATAATGTTTATCTTTACATTGATCTAGATCAGTGTAGTGCTGATTCTCCCGATTTATAATTTAAACTTTATTTTAGTCAATCTCTGAATCAATTTTTAAAATTATTATAATAATAATTTTTATTTTTATATTAACTAGAGTATCTAAACTTTGCCCCAAATCAATACTCCAATTGAATTTTAAAATTATAATAATAGTTATTTTTATTCTTTTATATTTTAATTAAATAATTTTAAAATAAAAAATTTCTTACAATAATATTTTAAAAATAAAAAAATATTATTTTTAAAGACTTATCTTCTCTTTACCTTCTAATCTAAAAATATATAAATTCATTTAAAAATTATCTTAAAATAAAATTTTTTATACCCTTATATCTTTGACCAAGCATATTTATATGTTAACTTTTGTCCCTGCAAAATAATCAAACGTTACCAAAGGTTATCATTGGAAAAGCATGAACATTGTTAAATATGGAAAAGCAAAACATCACATGCGTCACACGTGACAAATAAACAAAAGAAAACAAGCCATGGCCAGAGCAGACTAGTGGCAAGTAGGAACACCGAAAATGGAGAAACAGAGAGAGGGGATAGAGGAGCTGCTAAAATTCACTCTTGAGTCCCACATTAACCAAACCCTAGAAATCAATCTAGGACTCTCCAAAGACTTCTGCATTAACCTCCTCGAAGAAGACCCAAATGACATGTTATGTCACTCCACACCAACACCAACAGGTAATAAAAACCATATAAGAAAATTTTTTTCAAGTTAAAAATTTAATTTTTATGCTAAAATGCTCAAATGGTCTGCAGATTCTTTTGATGGGGTTGCTCTATATCCGTTGTATAAACGTTTAGCTTCAGCTTTGTATCGATCTGTAAAGTCTGGTGCTGTATGTAGAACTTATGAGAAGATGGTGTTTGGTGATAAAGATAGCAACTTGAAGCAGAAAGAAGAGAATTGGGATCAGTTAATTAAAGAGAAGGGACTTGAATTGATAAATGTAAGCTTTTGTTGGAGGTTGTTGAGTATCTTTAATTAATATTGTTTGGTGATTAAAGGGTTTTTTTTTCTTCCTCTTGATCAGGTTTTGGAGGGTATATCTTGTGAAATTCATGTTCAAGAACCTTACTTTTCACTCTTGAAAGGTATTATTTTTGTTTCTTTGATATGGGGTTTTTCCATGTTTTTGGCTTTTAATTTTTTTTTTTTTTGGATTGTCTGTTGTTTATGTGGTTCAAGATATGTTCTTTAGTAATCTGGGGTTGTGTGTATAGATGGGAGGAAAAAAATCGAAGGAAGGTGTGCTACTGGTGATTACTTAAGGTAGATGATTTGCCATATGGTTTAAGTACACCATCATGAATATTTGCAAGTTAATGATTGTGCAATCTTTAAAGAACTCTGTGCCAGAAAGTGGGTGAATGTCTGTTGTAGTAGCTTATATCTGACTTGTTTTGCTGCTGTTAGAATTGAGCCGGGTGATTTGATTCTCGTTAACAAAATTGTGGTACTTAAAGTGGAGGTGAGACCACATTTGTAAGTTGAATTCATTCATATATATTTCCAGTCTGGCCTATAAAACAATTTTATCTATTTCCAGGATGTTCGCAGATATGCTTCATTTTCGAAGATGTTGCAAGCTGAGAGTCTCAAGAAAGTCCTTCCTGGAGTTAAAACTGTTGAAGAAGGTAAACCTAGTTTTGTGTTGATGTTTAGTCTTTGCTGTCAAAATGATGTTCTTAGTTGAGGCATTGCAATGATGAGTTGCTAGAATTAAGTTGTCATGCCTCTTAAGTATAAGTAATGCTGGGAGTTAATTAAACTCCAAGACTTTATTTGACTTGTTAAGTATGGGGGTAGGGTTTCTTTTATTTGTGCATAACAGTTAATTGGGTTGTAAACTTCTAAAGTGTTCTGGTTTGCATTTCTGGAAGAATCTTTACAATACACTCTTTGCTCCAAGTAATCTTTTAAATTGTTTGCATTGTTTGGAATGAGAGATGTATTGAAACTTGCAATTGCTTTCTTGAATTTATAAGGTCTGAATTGTATAACAGTTATGCTTTGATGGCAAGCCAGGTGTCCAGATTTATAGGAAGTTTTATACAGAAGAAAAGGAAATGTCTAATGGTGTCCTCGCAATCTGTGTTTCAAAACTGGCTGCCCAGCCATACCTTTCTTTGGCTAGCATACTGTTTGTGAGTTTTTCCTGAACTCTTGTGATTCCTATGTTTTATTGCGTGAGACTTAAGCCTGATTTTTATATTGCAGATCATCAGGATATGTATGTGACATAATATATACCATGCCCATCATGTTTAGAAATAGTCATAGATGTCCTGTAAAATTACACCGAGAGCCAAAAGTTCTGATTATTTTGGTGTCTCTAATTCAGGGATTAAGTTATGGAGGTGTTCAGAGGCTACTGGGGCTTGCAGATACTAGTGGAACAGTTTCTAATGCCCTACCTCCACCAAGATCAATGCTTCTCTCGTCCTTCATTTTCCCCTATAATCCAAATGTAAAATTATGGCTTGTTATGAATTGTTTCATGCTTTATGTTATCTCCAAAGGTGTTCTTTTAGCTCTTTCTGGACCCTTTTCTATAAGAAACTGAATTGCATTCAATTGGTCTGTTCAAATTTTGGATTCAATAAAGATCTTAGTAGAGAAACCTCATAACTTAAGCCACATATCCATTAAAATGCAAACAACAACTATTCTAGGAAGAGTAGAAAGGTAATCATCTACCTTGTTTTTTCCTTAATATTTTGAGATGTTAATCTATTTATCATCTTCCACATGAATCTATTTATCTTCCAATTTAGCATCTGTGAGAGAATTATCAGTATAAAGGGTACAATTTCTTGGTTGATGGACTTAGAATTCATGTTGCCTTGAGACATCTCAAGCAGTGGCAGCCCAGAACTTATTCATTTTTTTTTTTCATTCTCTATGGACACTTCCTACTTTTTTCTCCTTTTTGTCAAAGTGTCAAGGAAGCACGCTGTCTTCTAGGTTCATTATGCTTAAACAAGTTCATGTATGCCAATT